TGTGTGTGTGTGTGTGTGTGAGTGTGTGTGTGTGTGTGTGTGTGTTAGACAATAGGCTGTAAATCTGAAAATAGCTCCTGGTTATTCTTAAGCTCTTCACACTCTCTGACAGTTAGAAGTTTGGGAGAGAAGGATGAAAGTAGAATTTGTAGCTTTGTAAACAAAGCTATTTAATGGTTGGATATATTTAGCGTATCCTGTTCCCAGACACATCACAGCGTAGTTCAGTATTGTGCTGTTGTGAATATTTACTGTAAATTCTCTTGATTTTGCTGCTGATTTTGTTCATAGTTCATGTCTGAAGCACAAATAATGCAGAACAGGTTATGCACTAAAGTTAAAGATTTAAAGCTGTTAAACTAGAGGCATGAGCAATTTGTAGTAGTTACGCCTGCCTTAGCAAAAGCCATTCATCAGTTTATATGTGTATATACATGTATATATGATGCTAATTATCCCCAAATCATTTTTCTGTCAGTCTACTGTGGCAGTCAATGGCAAAGACACTGCTGCATGGTTCATATGTAATCGTCTGAGAAATGCTCATCAATATAATATGTATTTGTATCCAGGTACAATGATGGAGGAACAGATGGTGTTTGGTTGCTTCATGCCAACAAACCACAAGCCCTGCCTGTGTGGGACAAAGCATGAAGGGAAATGCTGAGATGGTGTACTCTAGCACCTTGGATATGCAATGGTGACCCAAAACAACAGATAATAGTTAATTACACAATGTAAACAAAATAATGTACATGAAATCAAACATAAAATGTATTCATTGTATGCAAACTCCATAAGACATTATTATATCAGAAGAAGCCTGGGCCATAGGTTTACAGTAATTTTACAGTGAAACTCTAAACAGAGGCTGCCAAAGAGCAGGCAGGTACTGTTGTACACTTTAAAATCCCCATCACTGAAGGGACAACAGGTCAGAAAAATCTGGTGACAATGTCACAATGTCAAAGCCTGAATGGTAAAACCGTATGAGAGTTAACACACTATAATACGATGTCTACTAACAAAGGAAATTGCAGCTGGAAGAAAGGGAGGAAAAGGGAAAAGCAAGTGTGTATGTGACCCATTTTTTATCAGCACAGGCCATTGTGTCCCACAGGGGCAGTGGGATTCTTTCGGGCTCATTATGTTACACAGAAGATGCCCACTATGTGCTGGTTATAGCAGTCAGTATTCATGACAACTGAATATCCTAAGCCCTATTAAGGTGTAGAAACCTTTTGCATTAAGTTTTGATGGTTGTTACTTTGCCCGAATAAATGAATGAATGTATTTATTTTTATTTAATTGCATTGTAAATGTGTGTGTATATACAGTAAGTTTCCTTAAGCAGAGCTGAACTATTTTCATATGGATAATAATGTTTATTGAGCAGCAAATCAGCTTATTAGAATGATTAGAGGAGCTTTCAGAGCTGTCAACTCAACACAGAATCATTGTTTTCCTCTGGGTCTGCGTACAGAGACCATACAAATAAAGTTGCCTTGTTTGTTTCTGGAGTTTGACACGTTTTTTTTTTTGTTTTGTTTTGTTTTGTTGCAGAAATGGAACTAGATAGCTACAGAATTTCTGTCTATATTTGAAAATAAATTGGACTAACATGTCACTTTGTGAAGGGAGGATGCTAGAAAGAGCATAAGTAATGTGCTGTCGGTTTGATTTATGCTCTACAGTTTCAGATCTAACCTACTGACAATATTAAATGCTACACATTCTTTTAATCAGAAGTTGCTGTTTTAAATAGATCTGTTCATATAGTCTGGGCTGTTTCTTTTTAATTCTATTGACTAATGTGTTTTTTTTAACTTGTTTGAATCTGTGGTCCTTTGATCTTTGCAACAAGTAAAAATTACTGTGAGTAACACTTTAGTGCTCACTGCTAATATGCTCAGACTAGCCTTTAATTTCATATTAGTTACAGACTTGTTTATAGGAGGTTGCTGTCAGTAC